AAATCCTGATGATCTTCCTGTCTCTACTTCCCAAGTGCTGGTATTACAGGCACGTACCACCACCCTTGGCTCTTCCACAGTGTCTTACTGGCTTTTAAACCTGTCCAGTGATTTTTCTTTTCATATACATATTTTTTAGTTCCATGGTAGCTGTTGAAATATTTTTCAGTTTTTATACTATTGTCTTCCCTGATACGGTGCTGAGTTTTGTTCAGTGGGTAGTTCATTTAATTGTAGTTAACAGATGATTGTGAGCTGCCATGCGGGTTCTGGGAACTGAACCTGTGTCCTCTATAAGAGCTGCAAGTGTTCTTAACTGCTGAGCCATCTCCCCAGTCCTTTTTGTTGTTTTTAAATCTGAAATTCAAGTACCAAAAGGAGCCCTGTATTTTTTAAGTTTTTGTTTTGTTTTTTTGTCTTTTTGAGACAGGGTCTCCCTGTAGCCCCAGCTGTCCTGGAACTCATTATATGGACCAGACTGGCCATCATCACAGAGATGTGCCTGCCTCTGTCCCCCAAGTGCTGGGACTACAGGTGTGCACCACCGCACCCAGCTAGGTTTTTAATATTTATTTATTTGTATGTGGCAGGGTATGGAGGTCAAAGGATAACTTGGCAGGAGTCAGTTCTTTCCTACCATATGGGTTCTGGGGATAGAACTCAGGTCATCAAACATGGTGAGCCATTTTGCAGGCTTAGTTGACCTTTGCAAGGCTTGTTTTAGACTTGACTGCGGGGTTGAGTCTAAGGCAGCCCTCACTGTAGGACTACGTTAGACTGCTGCTTTTCTGGAATTCCTGCTGGATGCTTGGGGTGTTCTAAAGTTCTCTGTTGGCTTTTGGAATCACAGATCTCCTCACCCAGCCCGGCATCATCTCTGCCAGTTGTTAGCTCTTCAGTTCCCCAAGAGTTTTGTTTTCTAGCAAGTTATATTTTGCCCTGCCTCAGAGTCTGTTGCTATATATGTTTAGGATCCAGAGAAAGTGTTTTTGTGGCTTCTCCCTGCCGTCAGATTCCTGAGAATGGGATTGAGCTTTGGTCTCAAACTGCAGTCTTTACCTCCACATCTGGAAAGTTCCTCCAGGTAGAAAACCAGGGGAAGTGTGGGGCTTGATCCCCTCTCAGGGAGCAAAGTGAGTGGGTATTATTTTTTTTTAAATAGAATTTATTTATTTATTTTTGTCTTTTTGAAGCAGGGTCTCCCTGTAGCCCCAGCTGTCCTGGAACTCACTATGTAGACCAGGCTGGCCTTGAACTCACAGAGATCCGCCTGCCTCTGCCTCCCAAGTGCTGGGACTACAGGCGTGCGCCACCACACCCGGCGTGAGTGGGTATTTTATCCAGGTTTGTGGTTGTTCACCCAGGAGGAGTTGTCTGGCAGCAGTTACTGTATCCAGGCCAGGTGGAATCCCTGTCCTTTGTGTGTTACACTTGTGCCTTTCTGCATTCCCAACCATGTATTTTCCACATTGGGAAAATTTTTACTTAAATGGTATTACACTGCTCCTATTCTCTCTTATTTATTTTTATGTTTGGTCTTTTTGAGACAGAATCAGTCTCCCTGTAGCCCCAGCTGGCCTGGAACTATTATATAGACTAGGCTGGCCTTGACTCTGAGAGATATGCCTGCCTCTGCCTCCCAAGTGCTGGGATTAAAGGCGTGTACCACCACACCTGCCCCTATTCTTTTTTTTTTTAATTTTTTTATTTTATGTATATGAGTGTATTGCCTGCATGTATATAAATGCACCTATGTCATGCAATGCCCATGGAGGTCAGAAAAGGGCCTTGGATCCCCTGGAACTGGAGTGACAGACAGTTGTTAGCTGCCATGTGGGTGCTGGGATTCGAACCTGGGTGTTCTTGAAGAACATGAGTGTTCTTTTTTAAAAAATATTTATTAATGGGGCTGGAGAGCTGACTCAGCGGATAAGAGCACTGACTGCTCTTGCAGAGGACTCGGGTTCGATTCTCAGCACCCACATGGCGGCTATGAACCATCCTTAACTCCAGTTCCAGGGGAATCTGAAGCCTCTTCTGACCTCTGTGGCATTGCACGATACGGGTGCACTCACATACACACAGGCAATACACTCATACACATAAAACAACATTAGTGTTCTTAACCTCTGAGCCATCTCGCCAACCCAAGGGCATGTCTTTTTTAAAAAAATACTCTATTGAGCTGGGCATGGTGGTACATGCCTTTAATCCCAGCACTTGGGAGGAAGAGGCAGGTGGATCTCTGTGAGTGCAAGGCCAGCCTGGCCTACATAGTGAGTTCCAGGACAGCTAGCTGGGGCTACAGGGAGACCCTGTCTCAAAAAGAGCAAAATGAAATTTTTTTATTATTTTTATGTGTAGGAATGTATTGCTTGCATGTATGTAAATGCACCCAGATAGTGTAATGCCCACAAAGGTCAGAAGAGGGAGTCAGATCCCTGGAACTGGAGTTATGGACAGTTGTTAGCTGCCATGTGGGTGCTGGGAATCAAACCCAGATTCTTTGCAAGAGCAGCTGGTGCTCTTAACTGCTGAGTCATCTCTCCAGCCCTTTATTAATTTAAAAACTATTATTTATTTGTTTGTTTTTAATATTTTATTATTTTTATTTTATGTGTATGAGTGTATTGCCTGCATGTAAGTGAGTGTACCCGTGTCGTGCAGTGGTGCAGAGGTCAGAAGAGGGCTTCAGATTCCACTGGAACTGGAGTTAAGGACAGTTTACAGCCGTCATGTGGGTGCTGGAAATTGAACCCAGGTCCTCTGCAAGAGCAGTCAGTGCTCTTAACCGCTGAGCCATCTCTCCAGCCCTTTATTAATTAAAAAAATTATTTATTTATTATTTTTGAGATTGGGTCTCACATGTGTCCTTGGCTGGCCCTGGAACTTGCTATGTAGACCAGGCTGGCCTGGAATTCACAGAAACCTCCCTGTGTCTGCCTGCTGGGATTAAAGCTATGCACCACCATGCCTGGCAGCACAGGTCTTTTGTGGTTTTTGATATCATTGTTTGCAGTGTCTTTAGGAGAACATCTCTGTGGGCAATTTTTGCTTTATCAGTTGTGTTGAAGTTTCTCAACTCTCAGTTGGCAGGAAAAGGCAAACTGGATCCCTTCTCTTGTCCTATTCCTTTTCCATTTTTCTATCCTGACTTAATGTGACAATAAAGAAAAGGGCGATGAGGTGTGGAGGGAGTAGGGCCTCCCAGAAGTCTCTAATCTAAGTGAGAGGGTGGGCCAGGTGGGTTGTGGGGAGAGGTCCAGGAAGGATTGAGTGTGGTGGAGAGTCACTTGAGAGCTTTAGGCAAGGGCATGGCATGGTCTCAGTATGTTTTAGCAAATTCCTTCTAGTTCCATATAGAGAAGGGATCCTGGGAGGTGGCAGAAGGCTGCTGCCACAGTGCAGACAGAGATGGCCAGAAACAATGGCTCAGATGAGAGATGCGGTCCCATCAGGTACGTAGTTTAAAGGCTGAGCCTACAAAATTTTCTGTTGGGCAATATTGTGTGATACACAGAAGAATCAAGAATGATACCCAAAGCTGAGTGGGATGGGTCATACCTGTAATCCCAGTACTCAGGACACTGGGATGAGAGGATTAATGTGAGTTCAAAGCCAGAGGTGGTTTTATATGTGTGAGGGTGCATATGCATGTTATGTGTGCATACGTGTGGAGGACAAAGGTCAACCTGTGGTGTTAATTCTTAGTTTATCATCTTGTTCTTTGAAACAGATTCTCTCACTGGGACCTGGGGCTCAATGATGAGGCCAAGCTAGCTGGCTCATGAGCCCCAGGGATCCTCCTGTCTCCACCTCCACAGTACTGGGGTTATAAGCATGCTCCACCACACCTGACTTTTCACTTGGGCTTGTTCTAGAGATTGAACTCAGGTCCTCATGCCTGCATAGAAAGCACCTTACTCACTATATCCTCAGCCCCCAAAGCCCAAGGTTCTAGCATAAGGAAATGGACAGTGACATGGTATGCCCCCAAATGGCATTCCAGCAAGGAATGGCTCTTTCTTCTTTGGATGTGTGGTTCAGTGACTGAGGACATTCTGTGTCCAGTTGGCTATGGAGGTGAGTGACAAGGCTGGAGGGAGGATCCGAGTATCATCGCTGTGGAAGTGGATTGTATTTGTGTGTGTGTGTCTGCAGGTGCATGTGCGTACATAGGTATAGAGGTCAACCTCAAGTGTCATTCCTCAAGAGATGTCTATCTTGTTTGAAACAGGGGCTCTCACTGGCCTGGAACTCACCAATTTGACTAAGCTGGATGGCTAGGAAGGCCCAGACATCCTCCTGTCTCCAAAACCCCAGTGTTGGAATTATAGGCATGTGCTACTATGTCCAGTTTTATATGTGGGTTCAGGGGAATGAACTCAGGTCCTCATGCTTGCATGACACTGAGCTACATTCCCCAACCTCTGCTTTGTTTTTGTTTTTGTTTTGAGACAGGGTCTCACTATGTAATCCAGGCTAGCTTTGAACTCTGATCCTCCTGCTTCTACCTCTCAAGCGCTGGGATGACAGGTGTGTGCTATCATGCTTGGTAAGGTAGATCTCTTTAAACAGCTAGTTAAACTTGGGAAGTACTCCATTTTTGACTTGCCTGTCCAGGACTGGTCTGTGATATGAGAGTTTAGCTTCTGTGACTTCTCTGTGAAACTCTAGATGCTTTTACTCTCCAGCTAGTAATGTGAGTGTGCGCAGCTCTTCTGGCATTCACACTTGGGCCTTTGGTGGGCGTTTTGAGACTGGGTCATAGTACTGATTTGGTTGGTGACTGCCAGCCAGACCGCAGGGACAAGTATTGTGGGGCTGGGGTTTCCTGTTGCCTCATTATACAATGAGACACTAGGTTCCAAAAATAAATACACACGAAAAAAGTTTCAACCTGGGCTTGAGTGCTCTGAGTATCCTGGGGCCTGACCTGGGCCCTGTTCTCCATCGCAGCTAAGGGGGCCTCAAGTGCTTGCTCTGTCCTGCCCCTCTAGGCTGTCACCCGAAGAGGCAAGGTGGCTCCTGCCCAGAGGATGAGCAGGTTCCTGAAGCACTTCACCGTGGTTGGGGACAACTACCACACCTGGAACGTCAATTACAAGAGGTGGGAGAATGAGGAGGACGAGGAGGAGCCGGCTCCCATGCCAGCTGCAGGTGAGGAAGGCAACAACGGAGGCACGAATGCTGAAGCTGGCCCCGGCCCTGCACCCAAACCGCCCCTGGACTTCAGGAATGTGCTGAGGAAGCTTTTCAGCTCCCACAGGTTTCAGGTAAGAGAACAGAGGCCAAAAGAGCCCCAAGGGTGTGGTCTCCAGCACAGGAGTCCCGTCTGCTACTGCCACTGTCACTGGTGCATTCCATGGGGTTTACCAAGCGCCTGCCACATGCCAGGTACTTGGAGCAGCACTATGTTGTTGGGGGTGCGGAATAATAATCTGGAAGGTTAAAAGTCACCCTGTGGCTGTTCTCCAGAGGGTATGATTTGGGCATGACAAGGAGGAACATACTGACATGTGCTACAACCTTCAAAACATGAGCAGAATGACAGATGGGGAAGGCCCAGTGTATGTGATGCTGGGTATCTGAACCATATGGAACCAGCAGGGCTGGGCAGAGGGATGGGCTGCCAGGGCCATGAGTGGGAGGGAGTGAGGGGGTGACTGCTTGACAGACATGAGATTTTCTTTTGGGGTGGTGGAAATGTTCTGGAACTAGACATCTGGGGAAGGCACAGCCCAACTATCACTGCTGCCACAGATCTTTATGCCAACCTGAGAGTGGTTATTTTACAATGGTAATTTTCACATTGTACATTTGCTCATACCCACATTCACAGTATATTAAAGGAGGATTGTTGGAGGCAGAGGAAAGCATTCCTTCTACAGTCTGCTGGATAAGGCCGCAAGGACTCCTTGCCTCCAGGCTTGTCATCACTATGGGCCCACAGACTTTATGGAGAGGTGATAAGAACACATGGGGCTGGGGAGATGGTTCAATGGTAAAATGTTTGCTACACAAGCACAAGGACCTAAGTTTGGATTCTGATACCCACGTAAAAAGCCAGGTACTCAGGAGGCAGAGGCAGGCGGATCTCTGTGAGTTCAAGGCCAGCCTGGTCTACATAGTGAGTTCCAGGACGGCTGGGGCGACAGGGAGACCCTGTCTCAAAAAGAAAAAAAAAAAAAAAAAAAAAAAAAAAAAAAAAAAAAGCCAGGTGTGGTGGTGTGTGCCTTTAATCCCAGCACTGGGGAGCAGGGAGCAGGGATAGGAAGGTCCTTGGGGCTCACTGGCCAATCGGTGAGCTCCAGGTTCAGTTAGAGAATTTGTCTCAAAAATACAGGTGATTAAGGAAGACACCAACGTAGACCCCTGACCTCCATAAGTGTGCACACATGAGGATGTGTGTACTCCTGTATGCATACATGCGTACACACACACACACACACACACACACACACACACAGATGAACATGTGCCTTGTTCTTGCCTATCACTACCCTTCTAGTACAGTTGCGGGGAAAGGGAGCTCCTGGCTTCAGAAGGAGCAGCTGGCCCAGAGCTCTGTGGGGCCATGTCTTCCATTATGAAGTCATTTCGTTTTCTTTTCTTTTCTTTTTTTTTTTTTTCTGTCTCTTTTAGATAGGGTCTCCCTATAGCCACAGCTGGCCTGGAACTATTATGTAGACCAGAGTGGCCTTGAATTCATAGAGATCTTCCTACCTCTGCCTCCTGAGTGTTGGGATTAAAGGCATGCACCATCATGCCCGGCATGCATTTCATTTTTTAAAAGATTTATTTTTATTTATGTGTATGTGTGTGTACCTGTGTGAGTTTACATGTACCATGTGCATTCAGGAGCCTAAGCAGGCCAGGGGGTGTGAGCCACTTGATGTAGGCTGGGAACCAAACCTGGGTCCTCTGCAAGAACAGTAAGCGCTCTTTAACTGCTGAGCCCATGTAGGCACTTCTGATCTTAAGGAACAGGTGCAGGACCCTGCCTCTGCTCTGAGGTGGCAAGCAGGTTATATCTGGAAGCATGCCTGCCCCAGGAGAATGCAGGAGACTAGGGAGTACAGGTGCAGTGCCACAGAGAGGCACTTTGAGGGCACTACTGGGGGCAGTTTCGTCAAAGCCCAGGTCCCTTCTGGAAGCAGGGAGAGGCAGCCCTGCTCTTTCATCACTGACTCTGTTCTTGGGTAAAATAAGAAAAAAAAATATATTGGACTTTTCTCTCACATAAAGCAAGCCTTCTACACAGCACCCTTTTGGGCTGCCCCCCACCCCCGAGGCTGTGGCAGGGAACATGGTATTATGTTGTTGGGGTTGAAATCTCAAACCTGCAATTTTGAAGGAGGGAGCCAGCTTCCTCCCAGCTGCAAGGGGAGTCCTGAACTCACTCCTCAGGATGTCACTGCTTCTGGAAGGGACTTATCTGGCCACTCTGCCTGCAGGCCTCTGGGCTGACTCTTGAGGCTGATCCCATGAGCCAGTACCCCTGAGACTCTTGTGTGGAAAAAGGCCAGTCATAAAGTTACTTATCCACTCAGGAGACAGTGGCCCCTTGAGCATCCATTTCAAACAGCAGGGTCCCTGTCTCCCCTAAGGAGGACACGATGGTCTGAAGAGTGGCAGGAAAGGGGGTCTGAGCGCTCCTTACAGAGACTAAGGTCAGAGGTGGTGACTGTCAACTGACACCCAAGGCTGGGTATAGTGAGCTGAGCCACAGTGTTGGAAGGGCATTTTCCAGGCATGGGGCCGTGTTGGCCAAAGGCCTGGTAGGAAAGAAGCCTGCTATGCACTGCCTTGGGAAATAGGGAAGGGGCATGTGGTCCTGTGGAGAGAGTAGCAAGATCACTCAGTGAGGCAGGGGCTGCCATGGAAGGCTCTGTGTGGGGGTGACATGATCAGAGTAGTTGAAGGGTTTGGATGGAAGCCAGATGGGATGGGAGGAGGAGACAGCAGTTCAGGAGTCTTGCTTCTGCTGGTAAGAGCTCTAAGAGGGTCCTGGAATACCTTTCTTAGGTGGTTTGGGATGGCCAGTGACAGAGAATGCTGTCACTTCTCACACGAAATGGCACAATCAAGAGAGAACATGGGTGAGTTGGTCTCCAGGGAAGGCGTGGCCAGAGATGGGTCTCATGTTTGCTCTTGTTCTGAGGTAGCAGCCAGTGCTAAGCACTCTGCTCACCTGGCTTCACATGCCCACTGTCACTTGGGGTAGAATGCAGCCAGGCCTTTCCCCTGAGGAGGATGCCAAGGCTCTATGAGGTTTGGAAGACCCCATTGCAGGCTGATGGGACCAGATGCGCTGTCTTTGAGCCAGCACCCCACAGGAGAGGATGTGGCTCCCCTCCTCTGAGGGGATGTGGCTACTCCTCTGAGTAGCCCTGTAGAAGGGCAGATTCTGGGTCTTGGGGATAAGTTCAGAAAGGCCAAGGGTTACGAGCTGGGTATTGTCTTTTCTTGGTGTAAGTTTATCTTTCTCCCCACCCCAAATTCAAGTGAGACCTACATAATGTAAAATTAACCCTAGTCCTCTGGAAAAACATCAAGTACTCTTAACTACTGACCTATCTCTCCAGCCCCAAATTAATCATTTTAAAATTAATATTTCCACAGTATTTAGTGCATTATTAGTATTATGTAACATCACTATCTAGTTCCAGAACATTCTTGTCACTCCCCATCCTGCCTTCCCCCTCAGACTCCTTTTCTACCAGCCCCTTGGCCAACATGGCCCCCTGCCTGGAAAGTGCCCTTCCAACCCCGAGGCTCACTATGCCCAGCTTTGGGTATCAGGTGACAGTCACCACCTCTGACCCTACTGTCTGTCATCCATTTTGTATATGGATCCATCTGTTCTGGGGATCACATCACACATGGCCTAGGGTATGCTCCCTGCACTTTAGCATGCCATTTACACAGTTCATTCACATGGCAGCATGAGTCCATGCTTCATGTCTTTTAGTAGCTGTATGGTAAGCCTGTTCTTAATATGACTGAGCTTTGATTTTTAAACCATGTGACTTCTTCAATCCCTCTAGTTCCAAAATAAAACCAAGAATTAAAAAAACAAGAAAAAAACAGGCTGGGGAGATGGCTCAGTCAATAAAGTACTTGCTGCACAAGCATGAGGACCTGAGAATCCAGGTGAAAAATAAAGCCTGATGTGGCAGCACGTGCTTGTAATCTCAGCAATGAGAGGCAGAGACAGGAGGAGCTCTGGGGCTCACTGGCTGACTAGTCTAGTGAGCTCCAGGCCAGTGAGAGACCCTGTCTCAAAGGACAAGGTGAACAATTCCTGAAGAACAGCATCTGAGCTCTGGCCTCCACCAGCACACACACCCACATGAACACACACATACACACTCAAAAGATAAAAGGTACCTCTACCCCTGCCATTAGTGCCACTTTCACCCCAGCCCTAGTCCCCTGACCATCTCTACTGCCATCAGTGGAACCACTGCACTCTGCTTTCCTACCACCCCAGCAGGTCACAGAGCCCCAAGATCCTCTCCCTCGCTCCCCAGGAAGCCCTGCCTTCTCCACCTTGCCCCTAACCATTCAGGATGAGCATGTCACACTCTGATAATGGCCGGATTTTGTGTGTAGTGTCCCACTGGGTGAGAACACTGCCACCCCATTCCCTGAGGACAGGCAGCATCTGGGAGTCCCTTCTAGAACTGAGTCCTGAGTCTGGGGTGTATTGAATGATTTACTGTTTGTTCTGTGTGTACCCCAGCAACAGCAATCCACAGAAATAGAAAAATGAAGCACTTGGGAGGCAGAGACAGGCAGAGTTCTGAGTTCAAGGCCAGCCTGGTCTACATAGTGAGTTCCAGGACAGCTGGAGCTACAGGGAGACCCTGTCTCAAAGAGACCAAAAAAATAATTTTTTTTTTCCCCATTTAGGAGTGACATTTGATTTGACAGATGGTATTGAGGAAACAGTGACTGAGTAAAAGAAAAGACCAGAGGTGACCAAGGGACAGTGGGTAGGACAGAGAGACTACAGGCTTCTGAGGGAGAGGAACAGCCAAAACTCCCCACAGGGCACTGGCTATAGTCCTGGCCTTGGCTTCTTCACTTAGCCAGTTCCAGGTGGCTCCTGAGGATGAGGCTCCATCCTGGTTTCATATTCTCTTGCTCCTCCACACCAGGTTGTCATCATCTGCCTGGTGGTCCTGGATGCCCTCCTGGTGCTTGCTGAGCTCATTTTAGATCTGAAGATCATCCAGCCAAAGAACGACTATGCAGGCAAGGTACGTAGGTGGTACACATATACACAAGGCTCAGGAACACAAATGGCCCAGGGATACGTGTGGAACAGGTACACATGCAGCCCAGGTATGCCAGTGGCAGAGACACACACTTGGTACAGGTATACATATGGTCCACCCTGATCCTCACGCACAACCCAAGTGGTACAAGTTCCCATGTGGCCCAGGAATGCAACTGGGTCAAGGATGCACGCAGCCCACCCTGGTATGCACACAGGCCACATCCACAGGCAGCTTGGGCCAGCTGTGGTCTGCACAGCTGCTGTGGTCACTTTTGTTATCTGCAGGAGGGAAGGGTGCCTTACCTGAGTCAGCAGATGCCCTGCAAGGGGGGAGTGCATGCTTTCTTCCTTCTCTTTTGATGGCTGCTGTTCATTTTATTTTCACTTTATGTTATTTATTTAATGAGTGTTAGGCTGCATGAATGTTAAGTGTACTCATGTCATGCAGTGCCTGCAGAGGACAAAAGAGGGTATTGGATCCCCTGGAACTGGAGTTATGAATGGTTGTTAGTGGGTGCTAAGATTCGAACCAAGGCCATCTGCAAGTGCAGTCAGGGCTCTTAACCACTGAGCCATCTTTCCAGCCCTCCTGCTCTTCTTTCTTTTCCCTTGTGTGTACACCTTGTAGTGGGTGGTGCAATTAATCTTACTCATTTTGCCTCTAGCATAGTCACTGTGAGTCTCTGCTAGTGGGCTGCAAGCATGACTCCCTGAGTTTGAGCATTTCCTGGCTTTCTTAGTAAGGGACTAGAGATTCTTCACATAGTACCCACCTTGATTACTGAGGGAGCATGTGGCTCTGCAGTCTTCAGTGGTGTTGTGGTCCCAAGGTACCATCATCTACCTGGCAGGTAACTTCTAGTGAACACTGACATTGTCCCCTCAATAAAGAGGGTCTTGGGGTCTGTCCAAAGTGCTATAGTAAATGTTCAGTGTGGCTTTAAGCATTTGCCAGCCCAGCCATGAGATGTGTTCTCCCGATGGGACAGCTGGGCCTAAGGGCACAATGGGGGTTTTAGAATTTTTTTTCTCCCTGCCCCTTCAACACTGGGAATTGAACCCCTAGCCTTGTGTGTACTAGGAAAATGCTTACCACTGAGCTACATCCCCGGCCCATTTTTACTTTTATTTGAGACAGAATCTCACTCTGTAGTCCAGGCAGGCCTTGAACTTTCAAACCTCCTGCCTCAGCATCCTGTGGGCTGGAATTAGAGTTCACTACCACAACAGCTATAATTTCTTTCTTTCCTTTTCTTTTTTTTAGACAGGATCTTGTTACACAGCACTGGCCTTGCACCTTCAGTCCTCCTGCCTCAGCCCCCCAAATATGGGATGACAGCCGGGCCTGAATTCTGGCCTTGCCTAATTGCCCCTTACAGGTGGAAACCTTGACGGTGGTATTGACAGCTGTTGCTAGTGCTTGAGCTGATACTGTGGCACTTGGCACAGGATTGAGCCCTCTCTAGTAACCAGGCAGTGTTTGAGATCAGTCCGTGTGACCAAAGAGCACTCTGACAGTGGTTCTTGCCCCTCTGTTCCCTCAGGTATTCCACTATATGAGCTTCGCCATCTTGGGCTTCTTTATGATGGAGATTTTCTTCAAAATATTTGTCTTCCGCCTGGAGTTCTTCCACCACAAGTTTGAAATCCTAGATGCCATGGTGGTGGTTGTGTCCTTTGTCCTCGACTTTGTCTTCCTGTTTAAGAAGCACCAGTTTGAAGCTCTTGGCCTGCTGATCCTGCTGCGGCTATGGCGGGTGATCCGGATCATCAATGGTATGTCTCCCACACTCCTAAGCAACACATGGGGCCATGGGGAAACTGTTGTGGGAGCTGCACTCAGTACCAGGTACCTGGGCCCACACTTGAGGTTTGTGTCATGGCTGCTGCCACTGCCTCCTGGGAATCTGGAGAAAGGTGCAGCAGTAAGATTTGCCACCAACTAACTACCCCTGCTGGCTGCAGATCCTTCTCTGGCCGGTCTCATGATTATCAGAAAGTATTTATGGAAAGCATGGGACTTATCCCTGAGGTATCTTTTTTGGCTCCTCCCCAGGCACCTTTTTTTTTTTTTTTTTTTAAATCTTTTTGAGACAGGGTCTCCCTGTAGTCCCAGCTGACCTGAACTCACTATATAGACCAGGCTGGCCTTCAACTCATAGATCCGCCTGCCTCTGCCTCCCAAGTGCTGGGACTAAAGGCGTGTGCCACCACACCTGGCTTCCAAGGTACCTTATTAAAAATGTATTTCCTAAGACAGCCCCATGGAACCAGGCCAGCTCAGGAGGGTGCCCTCCAAAATGGGTGCAGGCAGCTGAGCAGTGCTCCTCACCAACTGCCTTGTCCCAGGGTCACAGCACAGAGCACATTAGCACAGGCCAACCCCAGGGAACTCCCATAGCTTTCCAGATTCATAATTTGATGCTGTGGGTGAAATGACACCTATTAATGTGCCTTGGACTCCAGCTCTAGAGAGCACACTCCAGGAAGTCCTGCTTTGCCAAACTTCAGGTGAAGTGCTGTCCCTGGCACCCATGTCTAAGGAAGAACAGGGCTTATGTGGGGGCTGGTGGAGGTTTGGCTACCACAGACATGTAGACACCTGGATGGAGCTGCTCCAAAGCCTGTCCAGGACCTGTTCTTTTCTCTCTTGGTAGTTTTGCCGCAGAGGATCAGGGTTACACTCGGGTGATCTGGCTTGGGGAGTCCAGATGAGGGAGTGGCAGTGTAGCCTGTGTTTGGGGTAGGTGTGTCCTCTGATGGGGCTGCCACCTCCTGACCCCTGACTAGCACCTTGTGCACTACACCCCAGTCTGTTGGACAGACCTGTGGAGAATGTGCTGCTTGGAATGTGATGTTGCAAGTGGCCACAGTTCTGCTTATGAGCAGTCTAGAAAAACCCATGAGGAACATTCCCTTGTTTCATGTGTGAATGAAGGCCTCTGACTGCAAGGGCTATAAATAAGTTTACTAAAAAGAAGTAAAAGGTCTATTAAATACACTGTGGTGAAGCCACAGTGGGCTCCCTGAGAGTGGATCCAATGGCTGAGAGGAGCTGGAATTCTCTCTTAGCAGCTGAGGCAGGTTACTTTGTAGAATTTCACCACCATTTGTGCAGGGTCCATATCTGTGCAGACAGGCTAACTTCTTGCTATCTTATTAAGTAGTAAATCTTATAGCACCAGTTGTGTCTCTTGAAACTAGCCACTGGGGTCAGGCACCACGGGTTATTATTACAATTAGGCTCTAAATGTTTGTGCATGATATCAAAAGTCACTGGGTTGGGCTCTAAAAGCTGTCAGGGTAAGTGCTAAAGTGTGAGGATCTGGGCTTTGATTGTTGGTCTTCCCCTCTCCACACTTTGAAGTGTGACTAGGGAACACAAGCAGCTATCAGTCAGTGCTGGGGATGCTGTCCCAGCACTCACAGGACTACTGCCCTGGATAGACTCGGGGCTAAGGCTAACTCTTAGCCCACAAGGGCCACAGGGATATATTGCCCAACTAAATAACTAAATAAATACTGTATTCCATGACTCAAAAATGACAATCATGGCCTCCCAGCTGAGGCCACCCAGTGCCAGTGACAGCTGTCTTGTTCACCTGTTCCCAAGTATAAACATGAGTAAAAATACAAATCTTGGGACTGGTGAAGGTTCAAGTTGGTAAAGGTGCTTACCACTGAGTCTATGACCTGAGTTAGGGAACCATATAGAAGGAAAGAACTGACTCTCACAAATTGTCCTCTTACCTTCACACATACATTGTGGTACACACGCCCACACATATATACACATGCAAAGACTGATATTGAAAAACTTTTTTTTTTTTTTTTTTTTGGTCTTTTTGAAGCAGGGTCTCCCTGAAGCCCCAGCTGTCCTAGAACTCACTATGTAGACCAGGCTGGCCTTGAACTCACAGAGATCCGCTTGCCTCTGCCTCCCAAGTGCTGGGACTACAGGCATGTGCTACCACACCCAGCTTTGAAAAACATTTTAAGACTACAAATCTTTTTTTTTTCTTTTGAGCTGTTAAATTAGAACTCAGTACCACCAAGATCCTCAACTCTCTTTCAGGTATCATTATCTCAGTGAAGACGCATTCTGAGAGGCAGATCTTAAGGTTAAAGCAGATGAACATTCAACTGGCCACCAAGATCCAGCACCTGGAATTCAGCTGCTCTGAGAAGGTGAGACACACTGGTGATGGGTCCTGCTGCTGTCCCCTCCAGTACAGTGCTACTCCTGCTCCTACTGGGCTTAGTCTGGAGCCCTTTCTATGGCTCCATCTCCCTGGGTCTTTCAGCTTAAGCATGTGCTCCTGGTCATGCTCAGTCCCTCCTCTGAGCATCTCGTTCCTGCTGTCACTGTGGCCAGGGCCCTCCCTGACAAAGGAGCCCCTCGGTAGCCTGAATTCCACAGTGTGGCTCAGAAGCTCAATGCTGGTATCTGTCTGCTTTTGTAATAGGAACAAGAAATTGAGAGACTCAACAAGCTGTTGAGACAGAATGGACTTCTTGCAGATGTGAATTAGCCATCCAGAAGTTCCAACCCAGAGAAGTTGGGCTGTAGCCAGAAAGCAACTGCATGGTGAGAAGTCTAATTCCTCCACCTCACCTTTGCCTCACCTTGCATCCCATGGACACTGAGGACATGGGTCTTCAGCAGCTCTACTGCCTCCCTGGTCTGACTCAGAGCCACCTGTCCACTCCCTCTGCCTGCAGCAAAGGAATCATAGCCATCTTTTCTCAACACTGGATGTTCCACTCTTGGCCAAAAATGAACAAAGGAAGCTGGACAGTTACTGGCATGTATAATTTAATTGCATCACTTTCCCACATATATGGATCAACTCATCTCTTCACAAGCACATTCTGAAAAAAGCAAAGAAAAGCTGGCATCTCGGCACTGGCCCATTCTAGAAAACCTTTCTTTACCAGCTGGTCCACAGCTTCTCTTGCCACATCTCCCATGGGAGCTGTCCTGGCACCCAGGCTATTCTTCTGCACCATCCAGCTGCACCATCAGCTTCTGGGTGGCTCCCTCTTGCTCTGTCCCCGACAGCATTTCTCCCAATTACTGTACAATTAATGTATAAAATAAGTGCTCTCCTTCCCTTGTGCACTCCTACAGATTCTTTCCTCAGTGGCAGCCCATACCAGCCCACCAGTTGAAGAGCCAGCTCACTGCAGGGCCCTGTGTACAAATGGCAATTAGCCCCTAGTCTGCCCTGTAATTAGCATAATCTTTGGGGAAAGATCCCGCATAAGGCTTTGTGCTCTATGCACTTAATTTTATGCTATTTTGCTATTTTTGTACTTCTTTGAACAGGACTTTAGCAAACCTGAACTAGAGATAATGAACATTTTGAAAATAACTCCCCTTGAGGCTAGAGAGATGGCTCAGTGATTAAGAACACTGGCTGCTCTCACAGAGGACTCGGGTTCAATTCCCAGCACCTACATGATGGCTAACAATCATTCATAACTCCAGTTCCAGGGGAATCTGATGGCCTCTTCTGATCTCTGTGGGCACTGCACAACACAGGTACACTTACATACATACAGGCATAACATTCATATACATAAAATAAAAATAATATTTTTTTTTATAAAAAAAGAAAATAACTCCCCTTAAAACAAGAGACAAAACACTGGGGAGATCCTCTATGCATTACTGTGTCAGGGTCTGTTCTCTTTACCTCCCCAGAGGCAACATGGCCTTGCCTGTGACCTGTGTGTGCAGGGTGCTGGAAAGAAGTAACCCAAACCCCAACCCAGCAGAGTGATGTTTCCAAGAGGAAAAAAGGCAGGTGGGAGGGGAGCAGAGTGTTGATTTTCGGGTGCCACCAAGGAAGAGAAACAATGAAGTTAATGTCCTCCAAGGACTTGGAGCCTATGTGCCCACAATTCCAGAGGGAAGACCTTCAGGGTGGGCTCAAGCCCCTTCAGGGGCCACTTACATCAGACAAATGGGAAGAAGAAGTTGAAGGGCAGCCTGGCATTGATAGTGGGCAAAGCTCTGAAGCCAGCTTCTGCAGGAGCAGACACGTCCACAAATGTCACTGCAGTGGAAATGATGACTGTCCTTTCAGGTCCTGGAAGGGGCTAAAATGGAAAGACAGAGCTGGCGCCTTCATCTTCCTTAGTCATCCACAGTAGTTCATGAGTTTGGCAGGTATGTGTAGGTGAGCTGTTCAACAGCACTGTCACCACGGTTCAACACTCACAGGAATTAGGAATATAAACAAAACCTCCATCAGAGAATTTCCTTTTTGTCTTTTTGAGACAGGGTCTCCCTGTAGCCTCAGCTGGCCTGAAACTTGCTATGTAGTCCAGGCTGACCTCAAACTCACAGAGATCCGCCTCTGCCTCCTGAGTGCTGGGATCAAAGGAGGGCGTGACCATGCCCAGCTTCCATCAGAGAATTTTTACTTCTAAGTAAAAGTTAAATAAGGAATGATTGCTAATATCTTAATACTCAAAATTGTAGCTAGGCATGATGGCACAAGCACTCAGGAGACTGAGGATCATGAGTTCAAGATCAGTCTGGGCTACATAAAAAAAGCTTATATAAAAACACCAAAAAACCACCGGTCATGGCAGTCACCTATAGAATCCCAGCATTTGAGAGTGGGACATGAGGACCAACCAAGAGTTCAAGGCCAGTCTTGAAACCCTGTCTCAATTTTTTTTTTAATCCAAACTGAAATTATCTTTGGTACTACGTAATAAATTTTTCCTGTCACACTTATCTTTCATATAGACTTATGCCTTAGTTTGTTCCTTTGTTTTATTTTGTTGTCATTTATTTCTTTGGGTGTGGAGCTGGGAGTTGGCCCCGGTTGTTGAGAGCACTAAACACATGCCTATCGTTGGATAGGCAGCCCATAGATACTATTGCCAGCAGGGCCTACCTCGAGAATGGAGACAAGCTGGACAGTGACATTCACTATTCTGGCCTGGGGGTTCAGCAGAGACCCATACTTAGTCCACTTCACTTCAATACCCAAAGCTACAGGGAGTTGGCAAGAGCCCTGCAAGAGAAAACTCAGTTAAACCTGAATATTACACAAACTCAAGTCAAACTCAATCTGTAGTTGAGAGCTTTAATTATAAAGTGTTCCACTTATTACAAAATGTTCTGAATACAAGAGTGAATAGATTATAGAAGTTCAGGTACAAATAGCTTTGACAGAACATGGATTATTAAAGCACTCGGTGCTCCAAAAAATATTGCACCACCTAGGGAGATAGTTATTCCATCCCCTCCTACTTCTGAAGAGGCCATTTCACTGTGGAGTTGTGGCAGTCCCACTACCCAGGGCTAGGACCTTCAGGACCTCTACCTGTCCACATCTACCTCAGAGATGCTTCTGGAAACTGGCCAAAGACGGGGGAAAAGAGATGAGAGAATCTAACAGAAATTGAATGTAATTACATCTCATGTTAAAGTGCACTGAGAGGAAATTTAAGCATTCTTTTATCTAATTTCACCAACTGGCAATTAAGACACAATAGCTGGGGGCTAAAGAGATGCTCAGAGGTTAAGGGCACTGGCTGCTCTTGCAGAGGACCTGGGTTCAGTTCCCAGCGCCCACATGGTGGTTAACTAACAACTGTCTATAACTCTAGTTCCAGAGTATCTGATGCCCTGTTCTAGCCTCCATGGGCACTACATGAACACGATACACATACATACATAGTGCGCATATATACATGCAGACAAACACTCATACACATAAATAAAAATCTTAAAAAAAAAAAGATAACAACATCTGGGGCCAGAGTCAGTGTCTGTATGTTGTCAAAGATGACCGCTTTACTTGCAGTGAGTAGGGGCTGGTGGGCAGGAGGAGAGGGTGCCTGAGCTCAGGCTGGATGCTGCCTCTGCCCTAGGACTTTTGCTTGGGCACCCCAAATTAAAATGGGCAGTGGGTCCTCCAGATCTTCCTCCTATCACTGTGGATGTTGCACAGCAGGTGAATGAGGAGCCCACTCAACTATGGTACTTTCCTGTATGTTTTCATTTCTACATATATTTCTCTGAATACATGTCTCAGGGCATGAAAAGCTGGAAGGCCTGCTAACCTGGTGCCTGCCAAAAGCACTAATGGGATTCCTTAGCTTGCAAGTGTCTTTTAGAAACCTTGTCTTTGAATCGTCTTGCCAATATCCCATTGCTAGAAGCCACAGGTGCAGAGGGTGTGAGCAGATGCCCTAGGCATGTTTCCATGGGCACTAATGACTGGTGTCTTCACCCAGTGCCAGGAGGCTAAGAGCATTTCCTGGGTTCACTGTGGCAGAGCTGGGCCAAGACTAAGTAGCAGAGCACAGGGGCTGATCCCATCCCTGGCTTTGGGCGGAGAGTTAATGAGCTTACTCTCCCTACTGTGCCCTCCCCTGTCCCCACTATTAATATGTAATGCTGGTAATGAGAGGCCAGAAAAAGCTGTGACAAGAAAAACCTGGGCAATTAGGGGAGAAGATGGAAAGCACACCTCTGCAGGAGACAACCCACGCTTCCCTCATAAGACAAAGAAGGAGGTGGGCGGAGGAGTCACATGTGATCAGGAACCTATTTGTAGGATATCTCCCATTAAACTATCTGGGAACTTTGGAATTGAAAGTGCTCATGTGTGGGCTGCTATTAGAGGCCAGGAAGCATGGGATGGAACCTGCAGTGTGGATGGCAATTAGTCCCCGAGACAGGTTTCACGCTCAATCGTTATGAGATGCCTGGGGGAGGCTTGTTAGCACTAACATCAGTCCAGGCTGACCATCCCTTACCTCCAAATGTTTGAGACAGAAGTGCTTTGAATTTCTCAGATTTTGGAATATCTTTGTAGCCATCATGACTGAGAAATTCACCAAAGTGGAACATATCCACCTCACACATGCAGCCTAGGGGCAACTTACTATTTTCAATAGGCCCAAGTTTTAACTATAATCATCAAATGAGGCCAAATATAGAATTTTCCATTGGTGAAATACTGGTACTCAGCAAGTTTCAGATTTGGGAGCCTTTTGGATTTCAGATCTTTGGATTAGGGCTGTCTCAATCCACAGTAAGAGAGTGCTGCTCAGTAGTACTTCCAGTTTATGAAGTGGCTGCTGGATCCTGACAAGCCCAACAAATTTAACCCTCTCTACAAACTCATGAGGTCAGTGCTGTTGCTCCATTTTAAAGTTAAGGAAACGGGTTCACAATTACTGATGAAAGGCATTGTGGAGAAGGGGCAGCATCATATCCAAAATTTGGGCCCATCAGCTAATAAAGCCAGCTCAGCTCCGGTCACCCTACTCCCTCACAGATATGTCCCCACCCACCTGACCTGCCTAGTGGAGGAAGACACACTATGAAGTATCCAGCAACCTCCTGCCCCTTACCTTAACACCAGACGGGTGGGTGATGAAGTGCACAGGAACCCAGTCCTGTACATCCTGGGCCTGGGAATTCCCAAAAGCAGCCACATAGTTGGGGAAGCTCTGGCCCCTCAGCAGGTCTTGCATCTTCTGCGCCAGTAGCCCACATGGGATGGTGCCTGTCAGTCTTCAGGAAGGAAAATGAGGTCAATTGACAGAGGCACAGACAGCCTCCTGTGCACAGCAGATTCAATACTGCCACCCTTTCTCCCTCTCCAGAGTAGCAGTCATCTGACGTATGCTAAGGCATCCTGGTTGTGGAGACATCCAAAACAGCTTCTTGAAGTGTTCCACCAAATTCCTCTCTGTACAAGAAGGGCACTGTGGCTAAAAGCCAGGCAATATGGTGGACTCTCCACATCCCTGTCCCTCCTGAAAGGCATTGGCACATACAAGACTCTGGAAAGTCCCACAGGCGGGAACTGTGGTTTAACCATGATTTGGCAGTTCCCAAACATACTGGGCTGACACTGGTAGACATTCTGCAGGAATGTGTTTAATAGAAGCACAAGGAAGAAATGTTGGTCCGAACTAATGACAAAGTCACCCCAAAGAGATGTGGGAAGGGTGTGGGTAGAGAAGGGAGATGAAGGGGAACAGCCAGTGTTTGTGCAGAGTGGGAACTCAGAAAAAACAACAAAACATAGAAAAAAAAATCAAGAAATGCCATTATAGTACTCAGGAAGCTGAGGCAGGAGTATTAGGAGTTTAAGGCCAGCCTGGACTACGCCACAAGTTAGTCTGGGATACACAGCAAGACTCTGATTCAATAAAATAATAAAATAAAAAATAAGTGCTGGGCATGGTGGCGCACGCCTTTACTCCCAACATTCGGCAGGCAGAGGCAGGTGGATCTCTGTGAGTTCGAAGCCAGCCTGGTCTACATAGTGAGTTCCAGGCCAGCTGGAGCTACAGGGAGACCCTGTCTCAAAAAACCGAAAATAATAGTAGTAGTAGTAGTAGTAGTAATAATAATAATAATAATAATAATAATAATAATAATAATAAAAACAAAGGGCTCTGTCAGATGTGACACATCTGTATCTCAGCACCTAGAAGACTGAGGCAGGAGGATCAGGAGTTTGAGGCCAACCTAGGCTATGTAGCAAGACCCTGTTTCCCAAATGATATTCACATTTCCTTTCACTGGCTTTCTTGTGCTGTATAAGTTAAACATTCAGAAATAGAGGGAGGACTTTCAGGGGAAATAGTTTTGCTAAATACTCAAATGTTATTCTACCTCAAACATAAAATAGAAAAGCTTTGTATTCTGCCATGTTTGGGAAGGAAAACATTTGCAGTGGTTTGGCTAGCGGAGGCTTGGTTAAAACAAAGAAAGAGTGTATGTGTATGGGGAGGGGTTCTTTGCTGAGAAACACAAATTCCAGTAGACACAGCCACTCTCACCTGAGCTGACAGCCAGACTGTACATTGTAGCCAAACAGCACGGGGACTCGGAGTCCCTCTCCTGAGAGGCAGTCCTGCTCGAGTGTACTACGAAGTATAGTAAGTTGGCCATGCCTATTCGTGGTCTGAATAATACCAGACATTTGGGCTGTTAAGGGATAGTCAACCAGTGCAAAAGCAGCTAGCTTGTCCAGGAAGAAAGTACTGTCACTTGTATGACATGAGTGAGACACAATCCCCTTTTCCTCACCTCTGGGCTAGCTCTCAGGAAGAGGCAAAAAGTCTCCTTTCCCTGACTGGTTCACCTTGGGAAAGCACATCTGGAAACTGGCCTTCAAAATTAAGTCCAGCTAGATGTGGTAGCACAGGCCTGAAATCTTAGCTACTCAGAAGGCTGAGGAAGAGGATTACAAGTTCAAGGCTCACCTGAACTAGAGTGAACTCAAGACCAGTCTGGGCAACTCACTGGGGCCCCTGTCTCAAAAGCAAAGAGAGGGCTGGGATGTATGCTTTGCTTTCCTGGCATGCCTAAAACTCTAGGTTCTTCAGATGTGATGTCACATGCCTCTAGTCCCAGTACTCAGGAGGCAGAAGTAGCTGGATCTCTGTGAGTCCAGGCCAGCCAGGTCTACATAGTGAGCTCCAGGCCAGCCAGGGATACATAGTGAGACCCTGTCTCCAAAAGGCAAAACAACAAAACAAAAAACTCTAGGTTCAATCCACAATACTGCAAAAAATAAACAAAAAGATTAAATCCAAATTTTCAAAGCCACTAAATTTGTTTAAGAGTAGCCATTTAAATATGAAATTGGCCAGGTATGGTGGCACATGCCTATAATCCCAGCACTCAGGAGGCTAAGACCGAGGAGGATCATGAGTTCAAGGTCAGCCTGAGCTACATAGCAAGGCCGAAGCAAGCCTGAGATACAGAGCATGACCTTGACTCAAAAAAAAAAAGGTAAGAAATGAAATTGAATGCATCCCATCTTTCTGCTTTCAGATATCCTTTTTACCAAACTGGTATCAGGGTACACGGTTTCCTCCCAAGCACTTATGTCTACTCAACCCCACTCCCATTACAACCCATGGTCCAGAGGAAGCTCTGGCTAGTCAGGTATCTCCTTCTTCAGGTCACCCATAGGACCCTGGCAATAAAGGGAAGCATAGCTCACACATGCAGTTGCCTTTCACTCAGAACCAAAAAAGGATATCCCTTCTGAGGCTGGAAGCCAGCAGTCAGCGGGAGCCCCACCACGTAACCAGGATTTCCACTGAGAGGAATTGGTTTGGTGCCTAGCTGCAAGACAAGGTAGAGATGTCCTGTGTGCTCTTGTTAATGAGGGAACAGGGGACATGAATACAGCACTTCTCATAATAAGATCTGGAGGTACCCAACACTGAAAGAATGGCTCCCCCTGCTCTGAACTATAAATGGATCCAGAGAGTGGGAAGACAGCATGCTGTGAACTGCAAGGCGCAGCTCTGATGCAGACTCCCTACGCCACCATGAATGCAGACTCAGGACAAAGGTAAGCCAGGCAATGCTTCTAAACTGACTGCTTCACTGAGAAGTTAGGATTTCTTTTAACTTAGCAGCCAGATATTTGAACAGAATTGCTCAAACTTACCTGAATAAAGTGAATTTCAAACTTCTGTTGCAGGAGAGTCACTGCACTGCTGATTGTCCCCAGGAGGAGCGAGAGGCTGGCTTCCCAGATCTGGCCTGCTTTGGTGTACGTGAGGCTGTACTTTACCTGGGACAGAACAGGGCTCCATATATCACTTGTGCCCACTGCCACTCAGTGGCCATGTCATCAACCCTTACCAAGCAGCCACAGATAAGCCTGAACCCCACACCCTGTTGTCCAATCATACCTCCAATGTTCCCTTAGTATCCCAGAGGATAGGGCCATCTCAGCCTCTCTGTGCCCAACTTTTCAAATTAAGTTCCAGATCAGCTAGTCCAAGCACAATGTAAATAGCCTACTTCCACAAGAAAGGCATCTAAGCAAAAACAATGGCAACAGCAAATGTATGTAGTGAGTTTTGAGTAAGTGTGTGTAATGCATGCATATGAGTGTGTCAGTACATACGTATGCGGGGGCCAGAGCAGGACATCAGTGTCTTCCTCCCCTATTCTCTGCCTCACTGCCTTGAGAAGGGTTTCTCAATGAAGCACAGGCTCCCTATTTCAGCTAGGCTGGACGGCCAGCAAGCTCTCAGGATCTACCTGTCTCTGCCCTCCAATGCTGAGGTTGCAGGTACATGCAAGCATGCCCAGCTTTTTACTTGGCTGTTGGGATTTAGACTCAGATACTCATGTTTACAAAGCAAACATTCCTTTCCACTGACAGACCCCTGTAGTCCCCAACAACAAAATTTTGATGCATTACTGCAAGGTGTTAGTTTTGTGGAGACACATAAAGTGTTCTCTGATGAGACAGCAAAGGCAACTGGAGGCCAGGCCAAGAAAAGCACCACCACAAGACAGACCAGGGTCTTCTCCCAAAGGTATGCAATTCCTCCTGCAGGTCAAGAGGCTGGAGTCAGCCACAGACTGACAGGACTTACCAAATCTCACTTGGTGCCTACCTCAAGAACGACGTTGCTGCAGAGTCTATCCTGCCCAGTGTTGACCAGAGCTGGCCGCAGGATGCGATGGCCTTCTAACCGAGTCAGTGTTTTATTGAGAGACTGAAGAGTGACAGACTGGATCTTGATGGGGACCTGAGAGGTAAGATAGCCTTGGTTACAGAAGACACTACATGCTACTTACAACACAGGTGACCCAGGTAAAGCAAATGAAACCTAAGTGAACCTCTAGTGATAACACTGCCAGAGTGAGGCAGACAGGTGCTGAGCACAGTGCATACTATGATCCACATTTGTAAAAGGCAGATATTTCCATGCAAACACATGCCACATTCAGAGAAATGCCAGGATGGATACAACCCAAATTTTAAAACATACTCACACAGAAACTCACAAAGCACTGTTCATAGCTGCCTAAACAATCCAAGCGCCCATCAACTGATGAGGATGAACAGTGTCCATCCACACAAGGAATACAGCTCACCCCCACCCCCAATCAAGTCCTTACAAGGCCAAAATATGGTAAGTCTTGAAACCATGCGAGTGAAAGAAGCCAGATACCAATAGTCAGACATACTGCATGATTCCACTGACATGGAATGTCTACACAGGCAAATACACAGAGACAAATGGGCTACTAGGGGCTGGAGCAGAATTGAGAAGACTGTAGAGTGATCCCTATGGATACAGGATCTTCCAGGGGTGATAAAAATGTGCTGGGTTAGATCACAGTGACATTAGCACAACCTGTGACAATACTAAAAGCCATAGATTCATGCACTTTGATAGCGTGGTCAGCATGTGGGAGGACTGGATTCACAACCCAGGACCAAAGAGGGTCAGATTGGGGCCAGGCCAGTTGGTGCATACCTTGAATCCCAGTATTTGGGAGGCAGAGGCAGGAGGATCTCTGTGAATTTAAGGTTATCCTGGTCTACGCAGTGAGTTCCAGACCCACCACTGTTACACAGTAAGACCCTGCCTCAAATAAATAAATAAAAATAAACAACAAAAAAAATTTTTTAAAGGAGTAGATTATATGGTATGTTAATATTACAAACACACACATATAACTCCATGGCATGACCAAACATACACATGCACATATGCATACACATAGACAGACTCAGAAGTACAGACACAGAGACAAGTTTATCTCCAAAACACAGCTTACAATGGTGAGTCCACATCTCTGTACCCAGTCCCTGGATTCACAGCTAGAACCCCCAGCCTTCCTAAGCAAACCCTGGTCTCAGGAGACACATGACCTCCCACGTACCTCATAACAGAGTGACTGGCTAAGTGGGTGGCAGTATCATGGCAGGACAGGGACAGACAAACCTTTTAAGCAGAATCAGGAAGCCTGAAGACTCCACGCTTGTCACTTGTGACCATCATCAGCAGGGTGACAAAGCAACAAGCCATCATCTGATAGCTGCTTCTGACACAGGCTCTCCATTTCAATGCTTAAAGCACCTTCTCTTTACACTGTCTTGAACTTTGCCCTCAACCACAGACCAAGCTCTTCATAATTTTAAACTGGCAAGTGTGGAGGTTGCCATTTTAAAGATAAGGTAAGCAGTCCTTATGAGTCTCTCCCACAACCAAGACAACCTACAATTGTCCTCTCAGTCAAAACCACGTACAGAAAAATGGCATCATTCCATAACAAAGGCAAGCTCTCATTGAAGACAGGGTGGGGACAGGAAAAAAGCCAATCATGCAATGACCTGAAGCTGCCCTGATAGGTTGAAGAGTCAAGGGGAGAACCCTGGGCTAACTTAACTAGCTCTTCCTGAAATCAAAGTACCACCTGGACACTAGTCTAAATATATACATGGACAGGCTCACTACTCTGAGAGTGGCCAACTTTGCAAAAGCAGAATCAAAGTACTCTAGAGGATGAAGGGATGTGGTAGGTCTTTCTGTGACTTTCACACTGGGTTCCTCAGAGGGACCAGCAGACAAGGCTAGGCTGAGAGGCTTTCTGAGCTCACCCTGCTCAATGGGGCTGCACTGAGGCTGGGAACACACCTAAAACCATAATAGGCTTCTCCAAATGATGGAGCTCGGCCCACCTGAAGCAGGATGAAATGTAGTTGTAGTTTGGATCCTTTCAAATGTCTCCCTGAGCACAGGCTTGTGTTTAGAAACTTCATGAAATCAACATGGTGGTGCCATCATCTTAGTGGCTTCCTAGGTACTCCCCCAATCCCTGCCTAGGCCTCTGTGGACACTTGATACCCACTTATACAGGGAGACTGAGGGACACAGTAGACAAAATGAGTTTTGAACTAAGGGAAGATTTGGAGACTGTGACAAGGCCATGGTCTTGGGCCTCCTTGGTGAACAGTATGGGAATCTATGATTCCCAAAGGGTTTTATTCTCCATTACTCTTTGGGAAACACTTAGTAACTGGCAATGAAGTGACCAGACAGCTATACCTGGGTCACTTCAGTGGGTTCTACAATAAGATAGTGTATTACAAACTATACTAGTATCCATTAAGAAACACTCTTGAAAAAAAAATTGTGCATCAC